TGTGTGTCCATCCCCGGCGTGTTATCCTATGTGTCCATCCCCGGCATGTTATCCTATGTGTCCATCCCCGGCATGTTCTCCTATGTGTCCATCCCCGGCATGTTCTCCTGTGTGTCCATACACACAGATGTTTTTTGGCAGGGGCGTTTTTAGGATGGAAAAAAACCCAGGACTAATGGGTTTCTAGAGGTGTTTTTTTAGCTGTAAAAACGCTCTAAAGCTGAAAACGTGGTAAAACACAGTAAACCAGCGTTTTTGGACCGAAAAAAACGAAATTTTATTGGGTCAAAAAAACCTCTAAAAAAAACGCAAATATGTAAAAACGCCACTACATGCTAATACAAAAACGCTAAAAAAACTCACGTTTTTAATGTGACTTAACACAGCTAACGTTACCAGCGTTATTAAAACACCCCGTGTGCATGGAGCCTTTTGCAGGCCATTCGGCCGATTTTTCAGCCGAAAAAGAAAATAAATAAATAATAGGTCGATTTTCGCACCATTAGTTGGTTAATTGGTCGGCCGGTTTTCATTATTTTGGCACATTTTTTTATCAGTGAAGTTGGAAAAAAAAATTACCCGGCAATGATGGGCAAATCGACTGATCTTTTTACCGATAAAAAAATCTGCGCATGAGCCGTGACGAAGAAGAAGAAGAAGAAGGAGGAGGAAGGAAGGGAGGGAGGAAGGAAGGAAGGAAGGAAGGAAGGAAGGAAGGAGAAGAAGAAGGAGGAAGAAGAAGGAAAAAGTAGAGGAAGGAGAAAAAGGAAGAAGAAGAAGAAGAAAGACGTAGGAAGAAGATTTCCAGTCCACTGTTATATTTTATATGAAGTCTTGCGGTTTCAACAATCTATTTGTATCCGAATAAAACCATCTGTATCCGAAATGGATACAAAGAGATACATTGTTGCAACCGCAAGACTTTTTCCTGTCAAATATAATAGCAGAGCTCTCTGCAAGGGACAGAAGTAATTAAATGCAGGCCATAGACGGGACGAAAATCAGCCTATTTCTTTTTTACCGTTAGTTGTAACGTCGGCCTATTGAACGACCGATTTTTCGTTTTTTTTTTTTTCTTTTAAAAAACGGCCGGTTTTCAACCCGTCTATGGCCTGCATTAATATTAATCAACTTCTTTGCATAGATATATAAAATGGTATAAAGATATCCTGTAAACAATGTAACAATTCTTTCTGCTGTTAGGGCTCTATGTACACTGCAGCTGATAAACTCACGTTTAGGAGCTGTTCAGCGTTTTTTTTTTTCAGCAGCCCCTGAACTCTCCCTAATGTTTTCCTATGTGTCCATGTACACATCTTCGTTTACAGGCAGTTGAGTTTACAGTCGGTTTTTTGAACGCACCAAACTTGCATTCAGGAGTAGAATTTATCAGGGTTTCACACGCCAAATGCTTTTAAACTCGGCTAACCGTGTTTGTAAGCGTTTGCATTTAGAAGCGTTTTTTAAACTGTTCCATGTCCAGATGCTGTCCGGAGCCTTTTTTCATCATCAAAAATGCATGCAAAGCGTTTTCCATGTAATCAAATAGACCCGGTACACCAGCGCAGTCAGTTCCAGGTTCTGCGTGAAGGAAACAATGGTAGAACGCGACGCATTATACTCATGATAGGATCCATAGTGAATACAACCAGAAAAGACAGGTCATCTCAACACATACTGCTCTCTCTGCTTCTGATCTCCCGATTTCTCTCGTCTGAAATAGTTAAATATTTTACTGTTTTCCAGTGCATTCTGGGCATTTGGGAAGGTTTCCTGAGATTATCTTTAAAAAAAACGCTTCTAAACGCAAATGCGTATAAAACGCGGTATGCAAACGCGGCTAAACAGATGTTTTTTAACCTACGTTTTCCAGCAGTCAGTTTTCATTGTTCAGAAGAGTTTTCCCAATGTCCCGTATACATGAGCCCTAAGTGCCATTTATGTACATTCAATAAACTATATTATATTTTCACCACACAAGACAGTGGCCTGGATTGTTCTTCAACAGTATGGACCTGGAGCTGGAGCCTGAGCAATGCACCCACCATGCATGGATTGCGATTGCAATTCTTTGTAGGCTTCAATACGAAAAAAAAAGATTATTTTTTCTTTTTTTCAATATCTATGAATTTATTTATTTTGACAAAACATACAATATGCATTTCTGCTTCAAGATATATTGTAGAAAAGGTTTAGTACATAACCAGTTCCTATAACTCAGCGGTTCTCAACCTGTGGGTCGCGACCCCTTTGGGGGTCGAATCGGCCCTTTCCCGGGGGTTGCCAGACTCGGTGGTCAGACTCATGACAGCAGCCGGCACGGTGCCGCTTTGTCTGTGTGTCGTGTGTGCGCTGTGTGTGTAGATCGGACCTTAGAGGACGGGCGGGCACTTATGCTGGTGCACAGGAAGTGATGTCATATCTTCCTGTGTTTGAAGGAGCTGGATGCCCGGGCTGGTAAGTCGGGTCTGATGATTTTGCTGCACTCGGAGGGTAGACACTGTACCAGCACCACCGCTACCCACAGTTAGGTAAAGGGGCGCCCGCGGTGCTGCAAAGCCACAGCCACCAATGTTCTAAAATGGGTTTTGGAGGGATCCCCCACTGATCAATATATTTTGTATGGGGAGTGATACACTGAGCCACCAATGATTTATTTATTTTTTGGGGGGGGGACTGAGCCACCAATGATTTTTTTTTTGGGGGGCGGGATTAGACTGTTGTGATTGACTGCTTTCATTGCTGTTCGTCAGACAGGTGGGTGTGGTGTCAGAAGAAAATTCCCAGCGATTGCAAGCGCTTTTCACAGGTTTGCTGGCGTTTTTGTTTGTTTTTTTTTAATGGTGTAATTAGAAATAAATATTTCACAATATATAACTACATTTTGTCTATGTGATTAATCACTATGCTTTAATTATGTTCAATTTGTAGCAATAAAAATACATCCTGTATATCAGATATTTATATTACAATTCATAACAGTAGCAAAATACAGTTATGACGTAGCAACGAAAATAATTTTATGGTTGGGGGTCACCACAACATGAGGAACTGTATTAAAGGGTCGCGGCATTAGGAAGGTTGAGTACCACTGCTATAGCTGAACCCCCAGGTTTTCCTCTTCTACACGGGTAATACTGAAGGAAATGCCATCTCTCTAATAATATCACCTACTATATCAGGAAAAAGAATAGCTGACATTTAGGGCCAATTCACACTATAGAAACGCAGTGCAGATGCGTTCCGGATGCGCTTTTTGCATGCGCATTTTTGACACGTTTATGGCACGTTCCAGTGCGTTTTTTGATGCGTTTTCTATGCATTCCAGTTAATTTTTTCCCCTCTCTTTTTCTTCAAATTAAATAGGGACATGTGCGTTCGGGTGCGTTCCAATGCAGTTTTGATGTGTTTTTCCGTGTTCCAGTACAGTTCTGTGCAGAAAAAAAATGCAGCATGCCCAACTTTTTTTTTTTTAGGGATGCACCAAAATTTTTGTGGCTGAAACATTTAGACCGAAAACACCCCTTTTGGCCATAGGCCAAAATGTAAAAAAGCACCGATACAGGTGCCGAAAAAACCCACTCCCTCGCTGCTGCCCGCCCCTTGCCGCCGCCCCTCGTCGCTGCTGCCACCGGCCACTGCTCAGTAGTTCTCAGCCTTACCTGAGAAACCATTGAACGATCCCGGCGCTGAGCATAGAGATGAGTGAAGGAAAGATGGCTTCCACTCATCTCTATGCCCTTGGAGGACCACAGCAATGTCACTTCCGGTTCCATATATATATATATATAGTAGCACAGTGGCTAAATGGTTAGCACTTCCACCTGGCAGTACTCGGGTCGTTGGTTCGAATCCCAGTCATGGCACCACCTGCCTGGAGTTTGCATGTTCTCCCTGTGCCTGCGTGGGGTTTCCTCCGGGTACTCCGGTTTCCTCCCACACTCCAAAAACATGCTGGTAGGTGAATTGGATCCTGTCTAAATTGTCCCTACTATGTGTATGTATGAATGTGAGTTAGGGACCTTAGATTGTACACCCCTTGAGGGTTAGGGACTGATGTGAATGTACAATATATATGTAAAGCGCTGAGTAAATTAACGGCGCTATATAAGTACCTGTAATAAAAAAATTAAATTATATATATATATATATTTTTTTTTTTTTTTTAAAGCACTAGATCAACGCTTGTTTTTGATCCGATGCTTTACATTGCAGAGGAGAGATGTGGGGTCTTATTGATCCCACATCTCTCCATAAAGAGGACCTGTCATTACTTATTTCTAATCACAAGGGATTCATACATTTCTTGTGATAAGAATGAAAGGGATTAAAACATTTTGTAAAGGGACAGTGCAAAAAAAAAAAAAAAAATTTAAATAAATAAAAAAAATTAAGTTTAAATTGCCCCCATCCCCCCGTGCTCGCACATAGTGGGGAACGCATACGTAGGCCAAGCCCACATATGTAAATGGCGTTCAAACCACACACGTGAGGTATCGCCACGAACGACGGAGCAAGAGCAATAATTCTCACACTAGACTTCCTCTGTAACTTTACACTGCTAACCTGTAGAAATTTTTAAAGCGTCACCTATGGAGATTTTTAAGTACTGCAGTTTCACGAGTGTACGCAATTTTAAAGCGTGACATGTTGGGTATCTATTTATTGCCGTAACATCCTCTTTCATATTTTCCAAAAAAATTGGGGTATATATATTTTTTTTTAATCAAAGTGTATTTTTTCCAAAAGATATATATTCATTTTTAAAAACTGGTTTTCGGCCAAGTGCATTTTGAATTTTCGGTTTCGGCACTAGAATTTTCATTTCAGTGCACCACTACTTTTTTTTTTCTGCAACTGGAACTGCAAGCACTAATGTGAACTATGACACTGACAACCATATCACCTACTTTCTGTGCGTTTTGGATGCTGAAAAAAAAAAGCAACTGAAACGCATGTCGTGTAAACTGGCCCGAAGTAAATAGTCTGTAGATTCCCACCTGATCTCTCACATTTACTATTCTTCCAAGGAGTAAGGGACAATGCGTTCGGAGTCTTGATATACACCTTCCCTTCACAGACCTTCACTTCATATACTTGATTCTAAAAGAAATAAATTATGTAAATAGATCAGCCAAAACAGAAGCAGCAATCATAACATTAAAATGGAACTAAAAAAAATAAAAATGAGCAAACAGGCAGGAATTTTAATGCAGAACAGACATGCTAAGTTACTTACCTGCCTATCCACCCCTGTACAGTGAGTTGCGCATGCACAAATCACTGTACAAATTAAGCAATGCCAAATCTGATGGAACTCCTGAGCATGCGCAGGAGTGACATCATCCCCGCTCAGCCAATGACAGGCGATCGAGACCCAGAAGCCAGCCGCTCGAAGATGTCAGTGGCCGGGTAGGTAGCAGAGGGACACTGCATCGCTGGAACCGCAGTGAATATAGTTCCAGTTTAAAGTGTTACTCAACGCAGATTTTTTTTTATATAATTAAAATTCGAAGCATGTTATACTCACCTGCTCTGTGCAGTGGTATTGCACAGAGTGGCCCCGATCCTCCTCTTCTCGGGTCCCCCGCCAGCTCCTCCTCTTCTTTGTGTGTCCCCCATAGCAAGCCATCTGCTATGGGGACAAATGCTCCCGACCTGTGGATCTATGGAGCCGCACTCTTTAGACACACAATGCGGGACTTAGCTCTGCCCCCCCCCCCACTTCCTCTTCACTGCACTTGATTGACAGCAGCAAGAGCCAATGGCTCCTGCTGCTGTTCGAGTCCTTGTGTGAAGAGGAAGAGGGGGGAGAAGAGATGCAGCCGTGCAGAGTACTGATCTCTTCTCTCTTCTCTTCCCCTTCACACAAGGAAGGGGGAGCACAGGGAACATAAAAACGTTTTTTACCTAAAGTGTTACTAAACCCACAACAGTACAATCAGTCTGTAGATGCAGTAAAGCATGCTTGTTATACTCACTGTGGAGCCTAAGGGGTTAATCCTCTGCATTGTGTAAAAAGGCCATTTGATCCTGAATTCTCTGCCCCTTCTCTTGTTCAAATGTCCACATCTTATCTCCTGATAAGACAGACTGAACCGTAGCCATTCTGCACATGCTCAGTTTGGTGTGTATTGCTAGGGAGGTTATTTTTTTTCTTGGGAGAGTGCATGTGATCAGCACGGGACAAATCAGCACTGTCCAGACAGACGTCAGGGGTTCTGCATTCACCTAGAGCAGAAGCTCCTCCTACAAGCTATAACCAGTGTTCTGCTGGACACTGACAGAAGTCACAAGACTGCTCTATACTGCTGATGACAAAAAGGTATTTAGCAGTTTATCTTTACTAAAATAATTGCACTTCCATGTTGTTAATATAGTTAATGAAGGGTCCGGGGGAGAGAGCAGATATAGTGAATGCAGGGTCCGGGAGAGCGGATATAGTGAATGCAGGGTCCGGGGAGAGCGGATATAGTGAATGCAGGGTCCGGGGAGAGCAGATATAGTGAATGCAGGGTTTGGGGAGAGCGGATATAGTGAACGCAGGGTTTGGGGAGAGCGGATATAGTGAATGCAGGGTCCTGGGAGACTAGATATAGTGAATGCAGAGTCCGGGGACACCGGATATAGTGAATGCAGAGTCCGGGGACACCGGATATAGTGAATGCAGAGTCCGGGGACACCGGATATAGTGAATGCAGAGTCCGGGGACACCGGATATAGTGAATGCAGAGTCCGGGGAGAGCGGATATAGTGAATGCAGAGTCCGGGGAGAGCGGATATAGTGAATGCAGAGTCCGGGGAGAGGACGGATATAGTGAATGCAGAGTCCGGGGACACCGGATATAGTGAATGCAGGGTCCTGGGAGACCAGATATAGTGAATGCAGGGTCCGGGGAGAGCGAATATAGTGAATGCAGGGTCCGGAGAGAGTGGATATAGTGAATGCAGGGTCCGGGGAGAGCGGATATAGTGAATACAGAGTCCGGGGACACCGGATATAGTGAATGCGGGGTCCGGGGAGACCAGATATAGTGAATGCAGGGTCCGGAGAGAGTGGATATAGTGAATGCAGGGTCCGGGGAGACCGGATATAGTGAATGCAGGGTCTGGGGAGACCAGGTGAATGCAGAGTCCGGGGAGAGTGGATATAGTGAATGCAGAGTCTGGGGTGACCAGATATAGTGAATGCAGGGTCCGGAGAGAGTGGATATAGTGAATGCAGGGTCCGGGGAGGATATAGTGAATGCAGGGTGGGGAGACCAGATATAGTGAATGCAGAGTCCGGGGAGAGTGGAGTGAATGCAGAGTGGGATATAGTGAATGCAGGGTTCGGGGTTTAGTAACATTTTAATGCAAGCAATGCATTAAAAGGTAAAACACGTTTTTAGGTTTAGTATCACTTTAAAGTATAACTAAAGGCAAATTTTTATTTTTTTTAGCTTTGCATAGAGTGGAGAGGGATTACAAAGTTTGTCAGATTTTTATTGCGATCTGTGCCCCGGTTAGGGAGATTCACCCTCTCTATTTGCCCTGTTTACCATTATCATTGAAAGTAAAAGAAAATCCAAATTTTGGGTTGTCCCCAGAAAAGTAAAAGAGAGGAAATCTTCCAATGGGGACACTAATTCATGTTACCTTGGGTTTCCCTTAATTTGGAGTGATTTCCTCTCACTTCCTGTTCTCGATACAGGACAGGAAGTGAAGGGAAATCTCTTCAATGGGATACATATAGCAAAAAATAAACTGATGGGGGGTTACAAATCTCTCATAGGCCTCATTCACACCACGAAGTGACATCTTGCTTACTACTATTCGTGTGATCACTGATTGGCCAATCAGTGAGCACATGAATCAGGACCTCACACAGAGGTCCTGTACAGCGATTGGTGTTCCACTGTGTCCGGAGGACACAGCTGGCACCGGATCGCGGTGCGGCACGCTCCCAGGGAGTGCGCACAGGCTGTGAATGCGGGCGCCGTTTATAAACGGCAACCCGCTCCTGCACTGCTCCCGTCCGGCTTTTTATGTACATGGGCCGGACGGGAAGTGGTTAAGCTAAGTTCACCTATTGTAAATAAATAAATGTACATGATTTTCCAGGTAAAAATGTGCATTTATTATTTATTTTTTACACCACAGCCTGCAAAAGCATTGCATCCGCAAACAGTAGATTGCAGGTGCAACTTCAGGCTCCTGCAGACAAAGCTGTCTGCCCGTACCTCTTGGTATGGGAGTACGGGAAGAGTCGGTGAACTATGAGGGTGCTCACGAGCGTCCTCGCAGTTCACTGCAAGGTGGGACTGGTAGTTCATTCTTTTCACAGACTGTTGTGAATGAATGATGTGGCTTTGTGGCTGGAGGACAGCAGGTGCGGGGAGAGGAACCTCCACCCATTGTAATGGGGGCGGGGGGGGAGTATACCAGCTGCACAGTAACATGTTGCATGCTAAATAAAGGTGTAACATGTTACAAAAGGTGAACTTTAATGCCTTGTGCATACGGGCGACTTAGCCTATGCGTCAAATGAAGGCGTTTTTGGACCCATCAAACAGCAGCTTATCAAACTTCCGCTGTTCAAAATCTTTAAAAAACTCAGTCATCCCACAGTAAGAAAGACTGTACCTAACCTGTAGTCCAGAGGAGGAGGATCCATCTTCCAAGCAGAACTCAAAATAATGCCAGGGGCAAGTTAATGCGAAGCGACCATTACACAGTTCTTCGATGTCCCCCTGCTCCAACGGTCCTCCTATTGTATGAAGACAAATCATGAGAAACCCAACAACACTCTTATCTGCTAGCAAAGGACTTCAAAATTGCTATTGTAAAATATTCTTCCCTTATACCAGTGCTTCTCAAATAGTGGGGCACGCCCCCCAGGGGGGGCGCAAGGCTCCGTCAAGGGGGGCGCGGCGCGGTGCCGCCGCCGTCCCCCCCCCTTCCGACAGAAGGGACACTAAGTACAGGGGTGGTCAGAGGGCTGCTGTCTCTTACCTGGCTCCCACGATGACCCATCCAGGAAGCGCTGCTCCTTCCGTCACTCCGGCCACTCCCTCACTCCTGCCGCTCGGCTCTTCCTCCTCACCGGAGATTGGCCGCCAGAACTGTAGCTCAGGAAAGGTACACAGGCGGCCAATCACGGGCGAGGAGGCGGAGTCGAGCGGACCTGCGAAAATCGAGTGAGGGAAAAGCCGGTAAGTGTGCAGTGCAGAGGTGCTGCTGCAAAAATACTATTTACAGTTGCGCGGGGGGGGCGCGCGAAATGTTTTCTTCTTCCTAGGGGGGGCATGACAGAAAATAATTGAGAAGCACTGCCTTACACCAAGGAGGACACATAACACCTATTATGTAAACTGTGGCAGGATCATTTACTCAATGTGATAACATAAACGTGCCAAGGGTGTGGACATTTTTGCAAAAACTACTTGTCCAGGGACTAAATCGGGGCCCCCCAACAAAAAGAGGCTTTATGGCAACTTAAACGTGTAAAATTTTTAACATTGTACTGTTTATCTCCTTCTTCCCTCCCTGCCTGTCTCCTGCACCGCACCCAGGACTAGCATGGAGGGGAGAGACCTTGCAGGGTAATGAGCACCGATTGGCTGCTCATCAGGAAAGGGGAGTGTCAGGGCTTATACTTTATGCCTTTCGCTGTCAAAGCCGTTTTTTGGATTTTTTGCACAAGTTTAAAAAATCATATTAGGCCTGAAGATGACATAAAACTCCCAAACATGATATAGTGCAGAGTCCAGGCTGAGCAGAGACCGGATATAGTGAACGCGGGGTTCGGGGAGAGCGGATATGGTGAACGCGGGGTCCGGGGAGAGAGGATATGGTGAACGCGGGGTCCGGGGAGAGCGGATATGGTGAACGCGGGGTCCGGGGAGAGCGGATATGGTGAACGCGGGGTCCGGGGAGAGCGGATATGGTGAACGCGGGGTCCGGGGAGAGCGGGATATGGTGAACGCGGGGTCCTGGGAGAGCGGATATGGTGAACGCGGGGTCCTGGGAGACCGGATATGGTGAACGCGGGGTCCTGGGAGACCGGATATGGTGAACGCGGGGGTCCTGGGAGACCGGATATGGTGAACGCGGGGTCCTGGGAGACCGGATATGGTGAACGCGGGGTCCTGGGAGACCGGATATGGTGAACGCGGGGTCCTGGGAGACCGGATATGGTGAACGCGGGGTCCGGGGAGACCGGATATGGTGAACGCGGGGTCCGGGGAGAGCGGATATGGTGAACGCGGGGTCCGGGGAGACCGGATATGGTGAACGCGGGGTCCGGGGAGACCGGATATGGTGAATGCGGGGTACGGGGAGACGGATATAGTGAATGCAGAGTCCGGGGAACCGGATATAGTGAATGCAGGGTCCTGGGAGACCGGATATAGTGAACGCAGGGTCCGGGGAGACCGGATATAGTGAACGCAAGGTCCAGGGAGAGCGGATATAGTGAACGCAGGGTCCGGGGAGACCGGATATAGTGAACGCAGGGTCCGGGGAGAGCGGATATAGTGAACGCAGGGTCCGGGGAGAGCGGATATAGTGAACGCAGGGTCCGGGGAGAGCGGATATAGTGAACGCAGGGTCCGGGGAGAGGGATAGTGAACGCAGGGTCCGGGGAGACCGGATATGGTGAACGCGGGGTCCTGGGAGACCGGATATGGTGAACGCGGGGTCCTGGGAGACCGGATATGGTGAACGCGGGGTCCTGGGAGACCGCATATGGTGAACGCGGGGTCCTGGGAGACCGGATACAGTGAACGCAAGGTCCTGGGAGACCGGATATAGTGAACGCAGAGTCCGGGGAGACCGGATATAGTGAACGCAGGGTCCGGGGAGAGCGGATATAGTGAACGCAAGGTCCGGGGAGACCGGATATAGTGAACGCAGGGTCCGGGGAGACCGGATATAGTGAACGCAGGGTCCGGGGAGACCGGATATAGTGAATGCAGGGTCCGGGGTTTAGTACCACTTTAAGACCACTGCTTTCACACACAGAGCAAGGGTCCTTCTCTGAAAGAATGAGGGGGATTTATCAAAACTGGAGCAGGTGTGCATGGCAGCCAATCAGCTTCTAGCTTTTATTTTCAAAGCTTAACTGAACAAACTGAAGACAGAAGCTGACTGGTTGCCATACACAGCTGCTCCAGATTCTGTCTGCTCCAGTTTTGATACATTTTCTGCATCTGTAACGGCTATATATTTCGTGTAAGAAAACATTTCACAATGCCGTACCTTCATGTGGACATGCAGAATCCATGGCATAGAATTTGCCATCTGCCTGAATTAGAACCAGATGTTCCCCATCCTCTGAGTACAATCTATAGGAAAACACAAGTATTACATTGAACATTAAAGCAGAATTATAGGCAATGTGTAGAAAACTACAGCGGAAACATTCTGGTAAACCAAACAAGACTGAATACTTTTTTATATGTGTAACTTCCTCCTTTATCAAATAAAAACCAGGAGATCCTGCCAATGAATGTACTTCCTCTGACAACACTCATTTCTCAGTTCTAAAGCCTTAAGATTTGCATTCTCTGCACAAGGTGAGAAATGTCCATGTCCATGCATATCTATGAGAATGCAGTCAGGCAAGTACCGTTCTCCTGGCAACCGCCAAACCCAGACACATCCATTGGATTGCCAGACAGAGAAGCGTGATTGGTCACTCCAGAGAACACATCTCTAGAGTCCAGTGGCAGCGTGCTTTACACCACGGCATCCGACGCTTTGCATTGCACTTGGTGATGTAAGGCTTGGATGCAGCTGCTCGGCCATGGAAACCCATTCTATGAAGTTCTCTACGCACTGTTGTTGGGCTCATCTGAAGGCCACACCAAGTTTGGAGTGTTTAGCTATTGACTCTGCAGACACTATTGCTCTCACTCAGACATTTGCGGTGATACCTCACACGTGTGGTGCTATCACTGTTTCCGAATGGGTGTGGGACTGACGTTTGCGGTCGCCGTTGCGTGCGAGCACGGTGGGACAGGGGTGCTTTTGTACTTTTATACTGTCTTTTTAAATGGTTTTTTTCTTGTAATCACTTTATTGCGATCACAAGCAATGTAAACATTCTTTGCGATAGCAGTAAGCAGTGACAGGCCCTCTTTACTGGACATCTGGGGTCAAAAATGAAATATGCGACTCTTCTGGTTTGTAAAACCATAGAGATGATCACGGGAAGATCCATTCCCCAATCACCTTTACACCCTGTTCCAAATTATTATGCAAAATGATATTTTTCTCATTTACCTAAATCAGGGGTGGCATGTAAATAACACAAGTTCCAGCATAATTCTCAGTTACAATGCTGGGAAATTAAGAGTACAATTGCACATTTAAATATTGAACAAACAGTCGGCATAATTCCAGGTCCTATAAGAGTACAATAATGAACAAACCTAACAGGATTTTTGTTCCAAATTATTCCGCACAGTAAGTTTCAAAACACTTTATAGGTTGTAAAGAACTGAAAATTGTCATTTGTTGTGTTTGCAGCATATTTACTGAAATCAAAAGCTATTTCAAACTTTTAACAACATTTTAACTTTTTAAACATTTGAACAGGTCACGTTACATTGTAACATAGGACCCCTTATTTGATAGCAGATCACAAGTCTTGCATCCATTGAACTTGTGAGTTTTTGGACAGTTTCTGCTTGAATTTGTTTGCAAGATGTCAGAATAGCCTCCCAGAGCTGCTGTTTGGATGTAAACCGCCTTCCCACCCTCATAGATCTTTTGCTTGAGGATGCTCCAAAGGTTCTCAATAGGATTGAGGTCAGGGGAGGATGGAGGCCACACCATGACTTTCTCTCCTTTTATCCCCATAGCAGCCATTGATGCAGAGGTATTCTTTGCAGCATGAGATGGTGCATTGTCATGCATGAAGATGATTTTATTACGGAAAGCGTAGTTCCTTCTGTACCAGAAAAGAAAGTGGTCAGTCATAAACTCCACATACTTTGCAGAGGTCATCTTTACACCTTCGGGACCCTAAAGGGGCCAACCCGCTCTGTTCCCATGATTCCGGCCCAAAACATGACTCCACCACCGCCTTGCTGACGTCGCAGCCTTGTTGGAACAGGGTGGCCGTCCACCAGCCATCCACTACTCCATCCATCTGGACCATCCAGGGTTGCACGGCACTCATCGGTGAACAGGACTGTTTGAAAATTAGTCTTCATGTATTTTTCTGCCCAATGCAGCCGTTTCTGCTTGTGAGCATTGGTTATTGGTGGCCGAATAGAAGGTTTATGCACAGTTGCAAGACTCTGGAGGACTCTACACCTTGATGTCCGTGGGACTCCAGAGGCACCAGCAGCTTCAAATATCTGTTTGCTGCTATGTAATGGTATTTTAGTAGCTGCTCTCTTGATCCGATGCATGGATCTGGCAGAAATCTTCCCCAATGTGCCTTTATCTGCACCAACCCGTCTGTGCTCTGAATCAGCCACAAATCTCTTCATAGTGCGATGATCACGCTTACGTTTTCGTGAAATATCGAATGTTTTCATCCCTCGTCCAAGGCATTGAACTATTTCACTCTTTTCGGCAGCAGAGAGATCCTTTTTCTTCCCCATATTGCTTGAAAATGGTGCTCTGCTTAATAATGTGGAACGCCGTCCTTTAGTAGTTTTTCCTTAAATTGGGCTCACCGGCCAATCTAATTATCACAGGTGTCCTAGATTGTTTTCAGTGATCAAAAGAGCCCTGACACACAATGCCATCCATGAGTTACACTGAAAAACAAAATATTTCATCTTTGTGACACTTAAATAGAATTTACATAATAATTTGGAACGCGGTGTATAGTAAGCCAGTGGAACCACCGGCTTCAGTGCCAGGTTTTCTAGTGGGATAGGAGAGCCCAGACAGGCACCAGAGGGTGGTATGGGGGGGGGGGGGGCTCTGCCACTTGCAAAAGCAATCCAGAGGCTAATTAGCTGCTAGGATGACTTTACAAGAAACAGAAATGGCTGCTGAAAAAAAACAATACCGGGATGATGACTGTACAGACGGGATCGAACGTTTGGGCACCCCAGCTAAAAATTTGTATTAATGTGCATAAAGAAGCCAAGGAAAGATGGAAAAAATCTCCAAAAGGCATCAAATTACAGATTAGACATTATTTTTCGATAGTTAACAGAGGAAGAACAATGATTTCAAGCACCACCCTTGTCATGTTTCACATGACTGTCATATTGACTGGCATATGCCTTTAAGAGTTTCTATATTTTGTTTCTGCTCCTCCCTTTCCTTTGGTTTAGTTGATGCTGTATAGATAGCCCTCCCCCTTTCCCAGAAATGCATTGCAGCTCTAGCCACATGTCATGGAGTAGGATACATTGTGATCTTTTGACCTATCGAATGTTCATTGTTGTAAGATTCTCTCAGTTTATGGAATAAATATTCACAAGATCTACAAGCTGTCTTATCGATTGAGTCACTGACTGTGGTATCCAACAAAGGTTGAAGTTATCGCTATCTCATCACAATGCTTATGCAGGCCATAGATGGGTCGAAAATCAGATGATTTTTCGGCCGAAAAAAAAATCAAAACAAAAAAACCAGCCGATTTTTGCAAAAAGACAAATTTAATGGGTTAATTGGTCGGTTCGGCCGTTTTCTGGAGTTTTGCACATTTTTTTTCAGTAGGTACTTTTGGGAGAAAAAAAAAAAATTGGCCGATTTTGCCGAGAAGAAGAAGAGGAGGAGGAAGAGGAAGTAGAAGAGGAAGAAAAGGAGGAGAAAGGAGGAGGAAGAAAGGAGGAGGAGGAGAAGAAGAGGAAGAGAGGAAGAGGAGGAGGAAGAGGAGGAGGAAGAGGAAGAGGAGGAAGAGGAGGAGAATTCCAGTCCGCTATTATATTTGACATGAAAAAGTATTGCGGTTGCAACAATGTATCCATTTGTATCTGAATAAAAACATCTGTATCTGAAATGGATACAAATAGATACATTGTTGCAACTGCAATACTTTTTCATGTCAAATATAATAGCGGAGCTCTCTGCAAGGACAGAAGTAATTAAATGCGGGCTGTAGACGGGACGAAAAGCTGCCTATTTTTTTTTTACCGTTGGTGGTAACGTCGGCCTATTGAATGGACCGATTTTTCTTTTTTTGTTAAAAAACTGGCCGGTTTTCAACTTGTCTATGGCCTGCATTAGATTGAAGAGACAGAACAACCCTCCTTTTAAAGCTTCCAGTCTGTTATTCTAACTCAATCAGCATGACAGAGTGACCTCAAGCTTTGTACTCATCAACACTGACATCTGTGTTAACAAGAGAATCACTGATGTCAGCTGGTCCTTTTGTGGCAGGGCTGAAATTCAGTGGAAATGGGTTTTTTCTGGGAGTAAGGCTGGCCATACATTATACAATTATCTTCCAATTTTCTGCCCAATTTCCTTTAGATTTACCTTCAACAATGTAGTGCAAGAGCCTGCTTAATTGGATACAACTGAAAGTGTTGTTTAGGTTTGTCCTCCTATTATATGGTTTTTGGTAAATCTAAACCAAAAATCTCCAGATAATTGTATAATGTGTGGCCAGCCTAAGTTTATTTTTCATGGCAAAGAGGATTTAATTGCAATTCATCTAATCGTTCTTCATAACATTCTGGACTATATGCAAATTGCCGTCATAAAAACTGATTCAGCAGACTTTGTGAAAATTAATATTTGTGTTTTTCTCAAAACATTTGGCCAGGGCTGTACATGTAAAGTGGTAAAACCTGAACTCCAAGTTTACAATTTTCAGATATTTATATGGGTCCAGCTTGTAGGAATGTAACTGTATATACCACACCTGTGGGATCCCTCTAGAAGCTGGAGATCATTGTATAGACACCACTACTCCAGTGAACTCCACTGGCTTCTGGATCCTGTGCGGATTGGCTGTCCTGCTGCATTGTGAACACAGGATGTCACTCGCTCGGCACAGGGGAATTCATTCATTTCTCAATAAATACAAACTTTCTGATTGGATGAGGTGTAAACCATGATGTTTCCATCCTGCCTGCTCCACCTCATCCAATCAGAGAATGCTTTGCATGCACTGCAAAAAATTCAAAGCGTTCTCTGAACGGCACCTGTGCCAAGCGAGTGACCTCTCCGTGTTCAGAATGCAGCAGGACAGCCGCTCGACACTGGACCTGGAAGGTAGTAGAGATCACTGGAGCACCAGTATCTATACAGAGATTTCCACCTTTCGTAGAAATCCCTTGCGGAGCTCAAGGGGTTAAAGCAGATGGCAAGGAGGCGATACACCTCCTCACTGCCTGTCAAATACTTGGAAGCATTGGGATTACTCTTGAGAGACCAATGAAGATTTAAAGCTTGGCGCTGCCACTGACATAAGCAAGATGATCGCTCCTTGACACAAGCAACTGCACAGATCGATGCAACACCATCAACGGGTTTCTTCATCTGAATCAGCTGCAAAATGCATTGGAACACGCAAAAGTACTGCAAGCTCTACTTTTGCAAAAAGCACTGAACCAAAACCCCGAAAATTTTGGGCTGTCCCCAGAAAAATAAAAAAACAGTAAAAATGCGGCTCAACCGCGAGATTTCACAGCTTGTGTGAAGGAGGAACCTTAATGCGGCGGTGTGTACAAAAATTATTATTATTATACAGGATTTATATGGCGCCAACAGTTTTGCGCAGCGGTTTACAATATAAGGGAGACAGTACAATTACAATACATACAATTACAATCCCGGCTCGTGGAGCTTGCAATCTAAAGGAAGGGGAGGTGATACAAAAGGTGATAGCTGCGGGGGATGTCTGGTGGACGTGATTCAAGTACAGTTCTTAGGTGGAGGTAATGTCGGTATTGAACGACCAATTTTTCGTGAAGAAGTGAGGTTTTCAAAGATCACCTAAAGGCAGACAGGGTGGGGGCTGACCGGAACCCTGCTGTGGTAGGGAGTTCCAGAGGATGGGAGAGGCTCTAGAGAAGTCCTGAGGCAAGGGTGGGAGGAGGTGATGAGGGCTAGAGAGAACGATATCATGGGAGGGTGGAAAAAGTGGGCGATTTGGGCAATATCTGTGGATGAGGTTGGTGATGTAGCTAGGGGCAGTGTTGTGGACGGTTTGTAAGCTGTGGTTAGTATGATTTGAATTTATACGTTGGGTTAGCGGAAGCCAGTGGATCGGTTGGTAAGGTGTATGAGTCTAGCAGCAGTCGCTGATCGGTCGGTAAGGTGTATGAGTCTAGCGGCAGTCGCTGATCGGTTGGTAAGGTGTATGAGTCTAGCGGCAGTCGCTGATCGGTTGGTAAGGTGTATGAGTCTAGCGGCAGTCGCTGATCGGTTGGTAAGGTGTATGAGTCTAGCGGCAGTCGCTGATCGGTTGGTAAGGTGTATGAGTCTAGCGGCAGTCGCTGATCGGTTGGTAAGGTGTATGAGTCTAGCGGCAGTCGCTGATCGGTTGGTAAGGTGTATGAGTCTAGCGGCAGTCGCTGATCGGTTGGTAAGGTGTATGAGTCTAGCGGCAGTCGCTGATCGGTTGGTAAGGTGTATGAGTCTAGCAGCAGTCGCTGATTGGATGGTAAGGTGTGTGAGTCTAGCGGCAGTCGCTGATCGGTTGGTAAGGTGTATGAGTCTAGCAGCAGTCGCTGATCGGTTGGTAAGGTGTATGAGTCTAGCAGCAGTCGCTGATCGGTCGGTAAGGTGTGTGAGTCTAGCGGCAGTCGCTGATCGGTTTGGTAAGGTGTATGAGTCTAGCGCAGTCGCTGATTGGATGGTAAGGTGTATGAGTCTAGCAGCAGTCGCTGATCAGGTTGGTAAGGTGTATGAGTCTAGCAGCAGCATTCATAATAGACTGAAGGGGGGATAGCCTGTGTAAAGGTAGACCAGTGAGGAGGGAGTTGCAGTAGTCGAGGTGGGGGATATAAACCAAGGCGTGGATAAGTTGTTTTGTGGTGTCATTGGTCAGGAAGGGGCGGATTTTGGAAATGTTCCGGAGGTTGAGGCGGCAGGATTTAGCCAGTGAGTGGATGTGGGCCCAAAGGCAGGTCAGTGTCTAGAATTACAAAAAGCACCCTGGCATTTGGGGGAAGGACCAATGGTTGTGCTTGATGCCTAAAAGAGTGGTGGTATCGCTGGGGGGGAGGAAATACTACAAGCTCATTTGGAAAGATTGAGTTTAACCGATTCCCCCGCCGCCGTAACATATATACTGCTAATCATGGCGGCACGGGTGCGCACAATCATGTATATATACGTGATTTTGCATTTCCGCGTAGGATGATCAATAACATTTCCAGCATTTTACCCGGGCGCCCGAATTACCAACAATTACAGACGGGGGGAAGACTGTTTTGTTTACAGTCTTCCTCCCTGCCAGCTTGGGCACAGTGCACAGCACAGCCATCCCGAAGCACACGCCCCCGAAACACTCCCTGCACATATTTAACCCTTTGATCGCCCCTCACATTAACCCCTTCCTGTCCAGTGCCATTAGTACAGTGTCAGAGCTGTTTTTTTGGCAGTAATCACTGTATTGGTGTCACTGGGGATGTCAGCGACACCAAGTCAGTTCCCTCCAGTGTCAGAATGTCCGCCGCAGTCCCACTAAAAGTCGCTGATCACCGCTATTACTAAAAAAAAATCCCAGTATATATACTGCCATTTGTAAACGCTATAACTTTCACGTAAACCAATTAATTTAAACATATTAGGGATTTGTTTTTAGCAAAGACACGGGCAGAATAGATTTTGGCCAAAATTTATAACAAAATTTGATTTTTACATTTTTTTTACCGGACATATTTAATAGCAAAAACTCAAAAATATTGTTTTTTCTCAAAATTGTCGGGTTTTTTTTTTTTTGCTTATAGCGGAAAAAAAATAAAAACTGCACAGGCGATAAAACAACCACCGAAAGAAAGCTCAATTCTTGGGAAAAAAAAGGATGTAAATTTCATATGGGTGCAGCGTTGCATGACCGCGCAATTGTCAGTTAAAGTAATACAGCGCCGTAACACAAAAAATGGCCTGGTCAGGAAGGGGGGTAAATCCTCTAGAGCACGGGTGTCAAACTGCAGCCCTCCAGCTGTTGTCAAACTACAAGTCCCATGAGGCATTGCAAGATTGACAGTTACAAAGCATGACTCCCACAGGCAGAGGCATGATGGGACTTGTAGTTTGGCAATGGAGGGCCGCCAGTTTGACACAGATGGAGAGGGCCGCCAGTTTAGTAGATTTGTGATACACCCGTGCTCTTGACCCCACTAACAGGGCAAGTGGTTCAGGTAGCGGTGATCGTGACTTGACCCCACTGATATGTCGCTTGCCCCCATAGTAGATTTGTGATACGGGAGGAGATTAACAGAGCGAAGATTGTCCAGTGCCATTGACCCCACTAACAGAGCGTCCAAGATCGAGCCGAGTGCCATTGACCCCATTAGCAAAGCGAATATCGTTGCCAGGCCATTGCCATTTCCCCACTAACTGCGCAAATATCGTCCAGTGCCATTGACCCCACTAACAGAGCGAAAATCGTCCCCACTAACAGAGCGATGCCCATTACCCCAATTAGCAAATCGTCCAGCGAAAATCGTCCAGTGCCATTGCCCTACACTAACAGAGCAAAAATCGGCGGTGCCATTGCCCTACTAACAGCAAAAATCATCCAGTGCCATTGCCCTACTAACAGCAAAAATCATCCAGTGCCATTGCCCTACTAACAGAGCAAAATCGTCCGTGCCATTGTCCTACTAACAGCAAAAATCGTCCTGTGCCATTGCCCTACTAACAAAGCAAAAAGCATCCAGTGCCATTGCCCTACTAACAAAGCAAAAATCGTCCTGTGCCATTGCCCCACTAACAGAAAATCGGCAGATTATTTCTTAGGTCTGATTTTCGAACGAAAAATTTGTACGGAAATGGACCCACGTACGGCCAGCCTAAGTAACTTGGAACTTGGTGGGTGGAGGCATGGGGGGGGGGGGTGGAGTAAAGAATAAAGGGTAGAAAAGAGTTGATGAGGATTGGATGAGAGCGTTTTTTTATTTTTTCGTTACGCAGCGCGTCACAACTTATCTGACACCTCAGTAAAGTTTAAAAAAAAAAAATGAAAAGAAGCCGCATCACGCCGCCCCTCCATGTCACTGATTGGTGCGAGTGCGTCGGAGCGCGCGGAATGATGTGAATAAACTTCTTAGGGGGTTCCACGAAGGACTTAGCGGGAAATTTCTTCACACGACAATCACCGCCGTGACCCGGCCCTGAGGCGGCGTTCCCACGGGTGGACGCGTGCCATTTAGCGAGCTTCTGAAAAAATTGCGTGGCGACGGGCGGACGCGCGGATTAAAAAAAAAAAGTCTTGACACTCAAAGGGGTGTGTGCGTTGCGTGTAAGGCGTCCCATTGAAAGGAATGAGTTGCGTTGTGCGAGCGCCGCGTCAGTGTGCGCACATCATGGTGAGAGCTGTGACATCAATGGAACCTAATGGTGATCTGATCCCGTTTTATTCATTCTTAGGATCCAGAAAGGAAGAGGGGAGGGGGAGGGGAGAGAAGGCCTGTCATGGTGATATAGTGGACATGTCCTTTAAGTGCCCGTGTGTGGGCGGGGCTTGCTCTTACTTGGTACACGGAGCCCGGAACCTCTCCTTCTCCCCCACACACCGCCAGCCGCTGTTCTCCACCACTTCCTTCAGGGCGCTCACCAACTCCTCCGGGAACCGATCCATCCCCCCCTCACCTCCCCGATACAGGGCGGCAAGTAGAGTTACTACAGACCGAGGCTCAGGCCTGCTCGCTGGAACCTCCCCCCCTCACCGGGCCTATCGAGCGCAGCGATGACGTCCCGCAGGGCCCCGCCCCCTCTCATTCTCATGGCAACAGAGCTTCCCTGACAACCACAACTCCATCCGGGTACCAGGGGCTGTCCTCAGCATCTTCCCATCAACTCTTCCCAACCCGGATAAAGATGACAGGAATGGAGCTGTGAGGGACAAGGAGACAGGAGATGTCTGCCTGGGGGGTGTATTCTGCATGTCTTCATTATTATTATACAGGATTTATGGCGCCAACAGTTTGCTCAGCGCTTTACAATATAAAGGGAGACCACGGGCAGACTGAGAACTCATGGGGCCCCCGGGCAATAGGGGATCATGGGGCCCCTGTGTCCTTGCCCAAACTCAAAAAAGCCTATGAAAAAGATACCAGGGGCATCTCATGGGGCCCCCTACTGACCCCGGGCCCTCAGGCAGTGTCCAAGTTTCCAAATGGTCAGTCCGCACCTGCGGGAGACAATACAGCAACAATACAGTTCAATACAAGAGGGATAGGAGGGCCTGATCCTGGGAGCTTACAATCTAGGAGGGGGGGCTGGTGGAACATTACATTACATCGAGTTTATATAGCGCCAAAGGGTTTGCTCAGCGCTGTACAATAGAGGGGGGGGACAATACATGAAACATTACAGCAACTCCAAACAGCACACGAGGGGTTAGAGGGCCCTACTCTTTCGAGCTTACAGTCTAGGAGGGAGGGGGGTAGTGGTACAGGAGGAAGTGGCTGTGGGGGATGGAGTGGTAGGAGGAGTGAAGGAGAGCAGCAGTTAGGTGAGGGTGGGGTAGGCTTCCCTGAAGAGGTGGGTTTTCAGGGAGCGCCTGAAGGTGAGGAGGGAAGGTGACAGTCTGATGGATTGGGGTAGTGAGTTCCAGAGGATGGGGGAGGACCTGGAGAAGTCTTGCAGACGTGCGTGTGAGGAGGAGACCAGGGAGCAAGATAGAAGGAGGTCCTGTGAAGAGCGAAGGGTACGGGTAGGGTGGTACTTGGGAATCAGGTCGGTGAGGTAGTTAGGGGCAGTGTTGTGAATGGCTTTGTAGGTCAGAGTGAGTAGTTTAAATTTGATGCGTTGGGCGATAGGGAGCCAGTGGAGGGAGAGGCAGAGGGGGGTGGCAGAGGTGGAGGGCGGGTGGTGAGGTGGATGAGTCTAGCCGCTGAGTTGAGGATGGTCTGAAGCGGGGAGAGCCTGCACTGGGGTAGGCCGGTGAGGAGGGAGTTGCAGTAGTCAAGGCGTGAGATAATCAGGGAGTGCACAAGTAGTTTAGCGGTGTCTGGGGTAAGGAAGGTACAAGAGGTAATAACTGAGGGGGGTGTATGAAAGATTTAGGTATTAGCTGAAGGCAGGATAGGCTTTCATGTAGAGATGAGTTTTCGGGGATCGCCTAATAAAAACAACAACATAATAAAAATAAAGAGGGAAAAAAGACATCCATGGAGAATAAACCCCCTAGAAACAGATCTTTTTTTTATTATTAAATAATAATAATAATAATAATAATAATAAATGTATTGTTATTATTAGTATTTTAGTTGTAGTATTATTGTCATGAATAATAATAACAACATAATAAAACAACAATAAAAATTAAGAGAAACAAAAATGACTTCTGTACAGAATAAGCCCCCCAGATTATTAATAATACATATATTATTATTATTAATATTATTATTACACTAATACCACTACTATACTAATACTACTACTAATAATACATGTGTTGTTCATAATAATAAAAAATATCTGTTTCTGGGGAGTTCTGCATGGAAGTTTTTTTCTCTTTATTTTTATTATGTCATTATTATTTTATTATGTTATTAATATTCCTGATAATAGTAATACAATTTTAATAATAACACAAAAGTATTGTTATTAATAAAAAATAATCTGGTTCTGGGGGTTTTATTCTGCATGGAAGTTTTTTATTTTTTTAATGGTATTATTATGTTGCTGGGTCTTAGTCTTACGCCATAAATACTCAAGAGCACGGCTACGTTTTTTTAATGCTAATAATACAATTTTAAATAATAACAACAACAGAAACACATTTATTATTATTTTTTTTTACTATAAATAATAATGAAAGGAACTGGTTCTGGGGAAGGGGAGACCAGATATAGTGAATGCAGGGTCCGGGGAGACCAGATATAGTGAATGCAGAGTCCTGGGACCAGAGTGAGCGAGTCCTGGGAGAGCGGATATAGTGAATGCAGGGTCCGGGGAGACCAGATATAGTGAATGCAGGGTCCGGGGAGACCAGATATAGTGAATGCAGGGTCCGGGGAGACCAGATATAGTGAATGCAGGGTCCGGGGAGAACAGATATAGTGAATGCAGGGTCCGGGGAGACCAGATAAAGTGAATGCAGGGTCCGGGGAGACCAGATATAGTGAATGCAGAGTTCTGGGAGAGCGGATATAGTGAATGCAGGGTCCGGGGAGACCAGATATAGTGAATGCAGGGTCCGGGGAGACCAGATATAGTGAATGCGCGGGGTCCGGGGAGAGCGGATATAGGGAATGCGGGGTCCGGGGAGAGCGGATATAGTGAATGCGGGGTCCGGGGAGAGCGGATATAGTGAATGCGGGGTCCGGGGAGAGCGGATATAGTGAATGCGGGGTCCGGGGAGAGAGCGGATATAGTGAATGCGGGGTCCGGGGAGAGCGGATATATAGTGAGTGCGGGGTCCGGGAGAGAGGATATAGTGAATGCGGGGTGCGGGGGAGCCAGGGAGGGGAGGATATAGTGAATGCGGGGTCCGGGGAGAGCGGATATAGGGAATGAGGGGTCCGGGGAGAGGGATCCGGGGGAGCGGGATACACAGTGAATGCGGGTCTGGGGAGAGCGGATATAGTGAGTCCGGGGGTCCCAGGGAGAGAGGATATAGGGAATGAGGGATCCGGGGAGAGCGGATACAGTGAATGCAGGGTCCAGGGAGAGCGGATATAGTGAATGCAGGGTCCGGGGGAGACCAGATATAGTGAATGCAGGGTCCGGGGAGATCGTATATAGTGAATGCGGGGTCCAGGGAGAGCGGATATAGCAGGTGGGGAGACCAATGCAGGGTCCGGGCAGAGCAGATATAGTGAATGCAGGGTCCAGGTGAATGCAGGGTCCGGGGAGAGCGGATATAGTGAATGCAGGGTCCGGGGAGACCAGATATAGTGAATGCAGGGTCCGGGGAGAGCGGATATAGTGAATGCGGGGGTCCAGGGAGAGCGGATATAGAATCATCTCTGAGAATCGTTTTTGGTGCAGTTTATAAGTCACGTCCTTTAAAAACCACTCGGAAAGTGCAAAAAAAGCACTGTAAAAACGCATATGCATTTGTCTGAAAGTTAGATATGTGTGCAGTGACAATCACTGGATTTTATATACTGTATATAAATCCCAAGGAGAGAGGCATTCCTGCAATTATAAACTTAAATATGTTGACATATATCAATATATTAACCACTTTCCCGCCACCCTATAGCAGAAATACTGCTACAGGGTGGCGGGGGGTGTGCAGAAATCACATATATTATTTTATATATATATATATATATATATATATATATATATATATGATTTTGCATTTCTATTTGCAGCCTCGGCTGTCAATCACTGGGTCCCAGCCAGTGATTACTCACCGACACCCGGAGATCGCCGAGTATTACTGACGGGGGGAGAGACCTGTATGTAAACAATACAGATCTCTCCCCAGTCAGCTCCTGCACAGGAAGGGAAATCCTCTGGAGGGCGAGGGGTTAAAGAACAGGCAAACCGTTTTCTTTCATTGTGGATAGAGTGACCCCCGGTTCACATCTGTGCGGGCCGCGTTTTGCGCAGGCACGAGAGCCCATTCATTTGCATAGACTCCCGTGCCCGTGACACGCAGGGAAGAAGTCCAGGAACTTCTTTGGAAAACGCAGCGCGCACAGAAACCTCGGTTCTCAGTACGGTTGCGTTTCCCAGTGCGGGCGGCGTGGCATTAGAAACTAATAGCACCCGCCCACTGGTCTGCAGTCCTCTGTGCGGGTGGTGCAGCTGCACGGATTTTCGTGCGGATCCACAGCGGCACCACCCGCACAGATGTGAACCGGGGTAAAGCAATGTTATATCCTCTTCCAGGGACGGCATACAGCTGACCACTTTAAATATATACCTCTATCTCTCTCCCTTGCCTGTCAACTGGTTTGACGAAGGCAAAGCATATCACAAGACGATTCCCTCATTGGTACATAGGGGGAGATTTACTAAAACCAGAGAGTGCAAAATCTGGTGCATTTGTGCATGGGAGCCAATCAGCTTCTAACTTCAGCTTGTTCAATTAAGCTTTGACAAAAAAAAATTAAAACTGGAAGCTGATTGGTTTCTATGCAGAGCTGCACCTGATTTTGCATTCTCCAGCTTTAATAAATCAGCTCCATAGCAGGGGCGGACTGACAACTTATGGGGCCCCCGGGCAGTAGGGGATCATGGGGCCCCTGTGTCCTTGCCCAAACTCAAAAAAGTCTATGAAAAAGGTACCAGGGGCATCTCATGGGGCCCCCTACTGACCCCGGGCCCTCGGGCAGTGCCGAGTTTCCAAATGGTCAGTCCGACCCTGTTCCATAGTAACATTTAGTTTCCTCCTTGGTACGAAGTGTTGTGAAGGTTCCAGGCAGACAGTTAGCACATTCAGCCAGCAGAGGTCAGCATTGTCTTTTATTACTTTGAGTCCTCACGCACACGGGACTTTTACAGCGGCTGTTTTTGGATTTTAACATTATTTTCTACAGCCAGTAACCCCCCAGCATGTTACCCTATGTGTCCATACACACATAGACTGGAACAGGGGTGGACTGACCATTTGGAACCTCGGACACTTCCCGAGGGCCCGGGGTCAGTAGGGGGCCCCATGAGATGCCCCTGGTA